CTGGTTGGTCGGCTTTTTAGCCAATGGAAAGCCGGGTATGAAATTGGGCCTCAGATTCGGAATTCTGGCTCTCGACAACCTATAGTAAAGTTTCATCAAAAGTGGCAAATGGCTTAAGATGATAAAAGGTCTTTTCTGATTGGTTGGCTTCCTAGCCAATGAGAAGGTCGGATATAAAATCCGATCTCAGATTAGGAATCTTGGTCATCGATTACCTATAGCAAAGTTCCATAAAAATGATCAAAAAGTTCCAAATAAAAAAGCTCATTTCTTATTGGTTGGCTTCTTAGCTAATGGGAAGGTCGGATATAAAATCCGACCTCAGATTAGGAATTCTGGCTTTCGATAACCTATAGTAAAGTTTCATCGAAAAGCCTAAAAAGCTTAAAACAAAATAGCTCACTTCTGATTGGTCGGCTTTCTAGCCAATGGGAAGCTTGGATATAAAATCGGACCTCCGATTCGGAATCCTGGCCCTCGATAACCTATGGTAAAGTTTTATGGAAAATTACCGTTTTTGTTTTCACATTATTCTTCGGCCAATCAGTGAAGTGCGGGCACACAAGCAAGCAAGCAAACAATTTATTCTTGCTAGACCTTTCTCGACGAGAAAGAGAACAAGAAAGAGACGTCCCTAGTGCAAGATACTTCAATGTACTTTCAAGGCACTTTAATGTACTTTCAAGTACTTTAATGATACTTTAATGGTACTTTAATGTACTTTAATGTACTTTAAGTACTTTGAAGTACTTTAAAGTACAAAAGTACGGTGTTTCCCCCTTGGATTAGGTTGTTACTTGCCAGTATACGATGAATAATTGTCGCTGCTTGATTGTAGATTTCGCTCTTTGAATATTAACAAAGATTTTCATCAGTCATCATGGCCACATCTGGAAGAAGAGAAGTTGCTCGGCGGATTCTCCGTTTGACGGATGGAATTGAAGAATCACACGAAGTACATGAACCAATATTTGACATTAAGGATACACCAATTGAATCGCTTGAAAATGCTGTCAATCCACTTGTTCCATTCTTACCTGACATTCGAAAGCATGCAGTTACTGCTAAAAAAGCATGCAAAAATCCACCTCCTGATGGATTAACATTTGATGAATCGGCTTCAATTAGGCTTTATTCGATGGAATGGGTACCACATGATAAATGTTTGTATGTTGTTTTAAATGACACCCTGCGATCGGAAGATGGAGAAAAAGTCAAACCATGGTTTTTGTATTTGAAACTTTTTCGTACTGCACTTGAACGACTTCCAAAACAACATCTAACAGTATATCGTGGAGTCAAAAAGAACTTGCATGAAAAATATAATAAAGGTCAGACCATCATATGGTGGGCATTTTCTTCATGTACAGAATCGATCGATATTTTGCAAAATGAAAATTTCTTGGGTAAAACAGACGAGCGAACGTTGTTCACTATCACATGCGATTCAGGAAAAGATATTCGAAAACATTCTAGTTTTCCGAAAGAAGATGAAATATTACTGCCTGCAGCCACTGCATTCAAAGTTGTTGGTATTCTGGATCAGGGCTCTCTTCATATGATTCAACTAAAAGAAATAAATCAATCTGATCTTCTCTTGCAACCGATGATCATTTCAAGTACCAACAATCCATTCAAAGGTATGAAAAAGATAATTTCTTCTAGTTTCATATCATTAATTGATAATATGAGAATAAAAGCGATAGAGTTCGGAAAATTTGCTGTCTTACATGATATTTGTTTGGTTAACAAGTTTCAGAGTTACAGATGACTTTCGTTTTTTGAAGTCAATATTAATCATAGTCACAGATACTCTAAGAATTGGAAAGAAAAACAAAACAATGAATTACACATTTTGGTGTGTAAAGATTAATTTCGACGTAGAATTTAAAGGGGCTAGAAGAGCCTGAAATTCTTTTTAGGCATCTTAAAGAAATGAGAAATCTAAAGATACCTCGGAAGCATTTTATAGGTTGCTACAGAACGTTAAGAAAGTTCCGAATTAGTTTCATTTCTTGAAATATAATACATTATAAATTCTGTATTACATCTATTCTTTTATTGTGTTGGTTTCAATACACTTGTAGTTTGCCTATATTTTACAATTATCTATATATATAATGTTCAGTGTCTGTCTGTTTCTCTGCCGGGTTAAAGCGGAAACGTCAAAAGTGATAGGTTACAGGTTAACGTTTCTGGGATTTTCACCATCAGGAATGCCTTCTCATATTCTTAAACAAAAGATCGGAGTAATTGTTATGCTTCTGCGCAACCTCGATGTTAATCAAGGTCTATGCAATGGAATTCGGCTCATTGTACGCTCTTTACAAAATCATACTATTGATTGTGAAGTAGTAACTGAATCCAACAAAGGAAACCGTGTTCTAATACCAAGAATTACTTTGACACCCTCTGATCCATTTTTACCCGTTAAATTACGTAGACATCAGTTTCCTATTCGACTCTCATTTGCTATGACAATCAACAAATCGCAAGGACAGACATTTGATCGATTAGGACTACTCCTACCTCAACCAGTCTTCAGCCGTGGACAACTATAGGTTGCTTTTTCAAGAGTTCGCTCCCAGACGTCTGTCAAGATACAACTCATCAAAGAAGAAAAAAACACTGAAAAAAACAGGACTAAAAACATTGTTTTCAAAGAAATTTTGTAAATTTGTTGTTTGTAAATAAAATGAAAACTATGAAAATAAATTATTTTGATAGAGCGGAAATGAAGATTTTGATCGTATCCACAATAATCACCTCATCCTCATGAAAAACTTGCTTTCGACGATAAAAAAACGACCGTGCAGTATGCACGGGTTCTCGCTAGTTATGTATATCGACGAGGAAAAGGCTTGCCACATCAGTACCATCTATAAGATTCTGTCGAAATCCGATCCTCAAAAAATCATCACATTCTATAGAATCTGCCGACTTTTTTGATAACGTCTCACAGAAAAGTCGACAGTCAGATATTTTGATCCGTGCTGACAACCTTATTAAGAACTTTTCCATTTTTCATCTCTTTCGCTATTAAAAACTGTGTGCTTTACGCTTTTTTGTTATATATTATAGCACTTGCAATATAAATAAAGGATATAGACCTCTAAAATTGATAAACTATAGTCATCATAACAAACGATAGAGTAGTTTCCGAAAAGAAACTCAGACTTTTACATAAATAGAAAATATTTCTTTATGGGAACGTATATTTCAGTTTGATGAAATACATCAGCAAAATTATTCAGAATAATTTTGATTTAAGTAGTGAATTCTATTTCAAATAGCTAGGCTCATTAATGAAATATATGAAAGACGGTAGATATCGGAAAAGTCTGCTAAAACTCAAATTCATTTCTGGAAGATTTCTTGATTGATGTTGACGTACAATGTTTATTATAATAACGATTTCTATTAAACTATGCCAGATAGAATACATACGGCTTCCAAAACGTTTGCGTATTTGCACATTAGATTTTGTGATATGTCTTCTCGTTCTGTAAAATTTCTTGTCCTGAATGTGGTACCTATATGTATACCTGACATCGGTGAAGTTAGCACCATATTCGAGTAAAACCTTCTCATATTCGTTTAGAAACATGTTCAAATGTTTTATGCTAGCTCCAAGTACAACTTGACGAGCTCTATCGAATCGTATGCCCAGATTGAGCACAGCCGAAATCACTATTTTTCAAATTCTCACTAGCGCTATCTACAGCCCAAAATCATACTTACAGTTCGGCAGATTTGATTATATCATCAGATAGAGCTCGTCGACTTCTACGTCGAACAGCATTGCAACATCTGGAACATGTTCCTTAATGAATATGGGAAGGTTTTTGCCGAAGAGACAACGGAACTCATGGAGAAAAATCAGTATTTTCGAATTTATTTCACTATAGTTTATGATATCGAAAATGTGATTGCACCATTAGATAGAGCTCGTGGAGATCTACTTGGAATACTATTGGAACATTTGGAACATGTTCCTAAACGAATATGGGAGGGTTTTACTCGAATATGGTGCTAACTTCACCGATGTGTATATCTGACTATTTCTACAGTGATATGCTTATATCCTTGTGGCAAATCTCTATTGACAAAACTCACAGTTAAATATAGATAACTGAAAATGTCGATAGAAAAATATTTCAAAATGGCCGACAGCATACAATCAACTGAGAAAGACATAAGATTTTTGACAAATCCTAAGTAGACGATCTATATTACCGAGATAAAAAAACGTCATGTATAATCATTCCTATTTGTTCAGTCTTTTTCCTTTTGGTTTCACATATCGAACGAAGTATAAATGAAAAACTAAAAGTAAATGTGATTGATTACTAACAATGGAGGTGTGTGTATTGTTGAGCGAAAAAGTGGCACATGTTCGGGTCAAATGAAAGCTCTCAACGCCAAACTAACAAGGTTAAAATATTAGCTGCCGTTGGCTTGCCTAAAGGGAGATATTTAACTTTTAAGTGTAGGTGTAAAAATGAATCAGGAAAGGTTTTCTCCACTACTATAAGGACAAAACATAGTGTTGTTCGGGGCGATTAGGGGGTTTGTAGGGATCCTCGTTCATATGGCCCGAACAACACTATGTTCTGTCCTTACAATAGTAGAGTGAATTTTTCCTGTAGCTCATGAAAACAGCTTTTTTCTATCAACCACTAGGAAAATTCATTCCGCTACTATAAGTACAAAACGTAGTGTTGTTCGGGCCGATTATAGGGTTTGTAGGGTCCCTCTTTCATATGGCCCGAACAACACTATGTTTTGTCCTTATAATAGCGGAGTGAATTTTTCTAGTGATTGATAGAAAATGCCGTTTCCATGACCTACAGGAAAAATTCACTCTACTATTGTAAGGACAGAACATAGTGTTGTTCGGGCCATATGAAAGAGGGTCCCTACAAATCCCCTAATCGCCCCGAACAACACTATGTTTTGTCCATATAATAGTGGAGAAAACCTTTCCTGATTCATTTTTACACCTACACTTAAAAGTTAAATATCTCCCTTTAGGCAAGCCAACGGTAGCTAATATTTTAACCTTGTTAGTTTGGCGTTGAGAGCTTTCATTTGGCCCGAATATGTGCCACTTTTTCGCTCAACAATACACACACCTCCATTGTAAGACTCTGAAGCGCAATAGTTGCAGCGATCGGATGTATTCTTACATTGAATATGTTTATAAAATCCAGTCTACATAATTATTGCATGAATTTTAACTTTACGTCAACAAGAACATCGAAGAATTATTATTTTCTTTTCAAGAAAAAACCAAAACAACAAAATCGGAGAATATAGGTAGCCGAAGCCGCAGGACTACTCAAACATTCGTGCTCATTTGGCTAGATTCTAATATTGATGAAACACAAGAGGATTGCCGTAATACCATTACTAAACTGCGAAATATTGTAAATACGGTCAACACCTTTACTGAGCCAGACCAGTGTATACAGTTTCTTGCAGATATGAACGATGAAAAAGCTTTAATAATCGTATCAGGTGCTCTCGGTCAACAGGTGGTACCCAAAATTCATGACATGCCTAATATTCATGCTATTTTGGTTTTCTGTGGCAACAAGTCTCGACATGAACAGTGGGCGAAAAAATGGTCAAAGATAGAGGGTGTTTTCACCCAGATTAATAAAATTTGTGAACACCTGAAGGAAACCATCGAACAAAACGATCAATCAACGATTTCAGTCGTCACAACGCCAAATGAGAACTTAAACAAACTGGAAAACTCTTATATGTACACAAAACTCTTAAAAGAAATTTTACTCGAACTCGACTTTAATGAAAAGCATATCAAAGAATTTCTGGACTATTGTCGCGAAAGGTATCAGGATAACAAATCTGAGCTCGCTATTATTGATGAAGTAGAACGAGAATACTACGTACATAGACCTGTATGGTGGTACACACGCGAATCTTTCTTTTATAAAATGGTTAACAAAGCATTACGCCTCATGGAGGTCGATGTTCTTATTAAAATGGGTTTTTTTATCAAAGGTCTGCATCGAGATATTGAACAGTTGTATTCAGAACAATTTGGTGGCGATCACCATTTAACAAGATTTATTACCTATCGTGGACAAAGCTTGTCAAAGATGGACTTCGACACACTCCGGAAAACAAGAGGTGGACTTATCTCATTTAACAACTTTTTAACTACCCACTTAAATCGAGATATTTCTCTGCAGTTTGCACGTACCGCTCTTCCCAATCCTGATCTGATTGGCGTCCTCTTCGTAATGGAAATTGATCCAGCCATGACTTCCATCCCATTTGCTTCACTAAGGAAAGTTAGCTATTTTCCAAACGAAGAAGAGGTCCTGTTCTCAATGCACACCGTTTTCCGTATTTATGATTTCGAAAGAATCGACAGCAGTGATCGTCTGTGGGCAGCTCACTTGAAGATGGTCGATAAAACCGATGCAGATCATGAGCTTCAGCAAATCGCAACAATTATACGAGAGGAAATTCAAGGACCAACAGGATGGCATAGTTTGGGTAAACTTCTACTAAAAATAGATCAATTTGATGCCGCTGAACAGTTATATCACAAACTACTTGTCCAGGCTAGTACGGACAAGGAGCGAGGGATGTTAAATAATGAATTGGGGCTCGTAAAAAATGGGACGGGTGATTATATGGATGCAGCTCAATTTTATAAAAATTCACTCGAAATCCGTCGAAAAACTCTTCCTCCAAATGATCTAGATTTGGCTGAATCTGACAGCAACTTGGGTGTTGTATATCAAAAGATGGGCGACTACTCAAAAGCGCTTTCTTACCAAGAAAAGTCACTGGAAATTCGTCGAAAAACCCTTCCTCCAAAGCATCCAGATTTGGCTGATTCTTACAGCAACATCGGTGTCATATATGAAAAGATGGGCGACTACTCAAAAGCGCTTTCTTATCAAGAAAAGTCACTCGAAATCCGTCAAATAATTCTTCCTCCAAATCATCCAGATTTGGCTGAATCTTACAGCAACATCGGTGTCATATATGAAAAGATGGGCGACTACTCAAAAGCGCTTTCTTATCAAGAAAAGTCACTCGAAATCCGTCAAAGAATTCTTCCTCCAAATCATCTAGATTTGGCTGAATCTTACAGCAACTTGGGTGTTGTATATCAAAAGATGGGCGACTACTCAAAAGCGCTTTCTTACCAAGAAAAGTCACTGGAAATTCGTCGAAAAACCCTTCCTCCAAATC